TATCTGATATAGATACTAGAAGACCAAGCTCAAAACATTTTGATTTTCCTAATGGATTATTTCAGTACAGTTTGGAAAGAATGTTAAATTGTGTGTACAGGGTCCTGACAAGGCAGTTCCTTCTCTGACTGCTGTCTCAACTTGTTAAAAAAAACAAACAAACAAAGATATAAAAGAGAAAGCTAAAGTGCTCATACAGTTTTGTGATGTACATTTTGGAAACATGGGGAAGTGAGACTTCAAGAGTATTTCTAATGAAAGAAAGTATAAAAATTAGTTGGACATCATGAAAATAATGGATAGGAGAGGTTCATTTTTCATTCCACGTAGACACACCTCAGTGAATAAGACAAGTTCCTGCATGTACAACCTTGAATTTAATCTGTTTTTTCAGCTATTTATAGCTAGGAAAAAAAGTGCAGATTCAGGTGTAGACCAGTGTTTGGCCTTTTCCCAGACTTCTGTGAAGACAGTTAGCAAATGAAAGGGTTAAAAGTTCATTAAACAATTAGTAAAACAGTTTCATAGTCAAAAAAATCATGTAATTTAAACCAAGCCACAAAATAGAATTTGTACATCTGGAGTTTGGATGAATGGCTACACTAAAGGTACGCACACTTCATATCAGTAGTAATAAAGAACAGGCAATACCTTGAATCTTCATTTACTACATTGTCGCAAGATAGTCTGAGCTTTGATCTAGATACAGACTGTTTTTTTCTGCTGTGGTACCTTATCTATATACTATCAGTGCCCTAAATATTTTGCACAGAACTACACAGTGGGGTACTTCCTGTGCTTTCTTTCAGATATTGTAATTCTCATAGCCTCCTATGTAGACAATGGTCTAACAGGACACGTATTTCTGATGTCACCACCAGCATATCCATTTATTCAATTGCATGAGTATTTTGCATTAGTGAAATAGTATACAGTGGCACCACTAAAGGTCCTGGTGAGGAATTTCAGGAGTGCAAATTCTTCTCATTTATACTGCAGTAACTTAAGAGATCAGTGCTCCCATATCAGTTACTTGAGGCTTAGTCATGGTTCCTTTTTTGCCTTTCACAGGAGCATATTTTCTTTACATTGCTAGGGTGGGCGAAGGACATACCACATTTTCTTTCTGGGATGAGTCATTGAACAAAAGACATTGTTCAGGTATCTGAGATTCACTGTGCTTCATTAGAAAACACCCCAAATTATTCCAAGAAACCTCCTGTATAGTTAAACAAGAAAGTCAAGTATTTTGAGCAGGTAAGCATAACTATAACCATAATCTGTTAAGTCCAAAATGAATTAATTTTTCATATTCTATTTCTTGCTTATAATATGATGGGAAACAACTTTCATGTTGTATGCATTTGTTATTTGCAGTTGCACTGCAATTGTTTCAGTCAATTAGATTTTTCTGAAAAATACCATCAGTAATCAGACATTGACTAGTAGTAGCAGAAAATGTATTTGTGTTATGTGTTGTACTTTTCTTTCTCCAATTTAATAGGAAATAAGGAGGATGAATTCTGCCCCACAGTCTAAATTAATAGAGTAAGCAATGATACTTAAAACTTCAAAAAAGGGTCTGTCTTCATGTATTAGTTTCAAGATCACCCCTTGAAGCAGTTACAACTGATTGTGTGAATAGACACAATCAGTTTCAGCAGGGACACGAATCACAAAGTTGTGCTCATACACTGGTATTACTGTATTACTAAAGCTTACTAACCTTCAGTGAACTTTATAACCTGAAATGTCTTGAATGAAGTCTTACATAAAGTGTAACTATTTTTCCATATCTAAAGTTCACTTTAAAAATGTGAGTACGTGTTCTTCTTCCTAAAACTCTTCATTCTTCCATCAAATGTGCTTGCTTTAAATTCATTGCTTTTTCCACTGTACAAACTAGGTGGATTTCAATACTTACTGGAAGAATCTAAAGCATTTGGTTGTTATTAGTGTGGAGATAGCTGACTCACACATGCAAAAAATTAAAGAAACTTACAAATGTTCAAGTGATTTTTGTTTTGTTTTGGGGTTATCCAGACAAAACCACATCCTGTAGTACAACAGATCTTTTCCTTTTTTTATTTTTATTGTGCAGTATAATTTCAGGTTAATAAAACAAACAAGGACAATACTCTTATTGTGTATCCCCATATTTTATTATTTTTATTTAAATATAACATACTATACATCGTTTCTCAGTGATTTTTGTTTCCATTTTCTTTTTTAAATCCCTTCCCGTTTTCCTTTTGCTCAGGAGTCTGTTATGCTGAGGGTGACAGAAAACAGAGCTTATGGTCAAGGATCTGTGATACTCTAGGTAGAGTATCTGCAGTTTGCCCTCACTACAGCGGGTATTACAGTATACCAAACACACAGGAATCATTGATCCCTTCAAGTTTTTTTTTATTTTGGTTAATTTTCAGAAACCATTATTCATGTCAAAACCGGCTCCTGACTCACTTTGGAAAAGTGGTATTTCCTGATTTTGGCCTCTGAGCAGCATTGTATTTTGAGTACTATGATAATATCTATGCATAATCCCTCCCCTGACCAAGTCATCTAGGTAATTCTGTCCAAAGAGTATTTAAGTTGTACCCTAAATGTTCTTTAAATGGTCATCCAATACTGCATTCACCCAAGATCACACTGAATGTTCACTGTGGGTGGTCCATTAGGTCCTGTCAGCTTTAATTATTGATTACAAATTTTAAACAACAGAAACTTGCTTTATCATTGTAGTTAAGTTTTGATGTGACCTGCAATTACATTCAAAATCTGAAATTCTTATTTCCCTTTCTAGAAAACTCATTTGTGAAGAAACAAGCTAGAGATAAAGTACCATGAAATACAATCTCAGCTATCAGCTAAAATGTCTTTCAATGAATTCCTAGTTTTAAAACAGTTGACTTTATTTAAGGACAGGAAATGTAATCTGACCATTTTGTATTTTATGGGAAAGCTATTATTTTTTGCTTTTTTTAAAAAACAGCTAATATTTAAATAACAGATTAAGATTGAAGTGCTGGTTAAACATTGACTTAAATAAGTTATAGAAGATTCCAACAACACCAGCCTTTATAGAGGTTAAACATTCTCAAAAAAACACAGTATGCAAGGCTCCCCTTTGTACCAAAATACAGTTTCCAAACAATAAAAATAAAACCAACTTTTTCACAACAAGAAATATTGAAGATAAAACTGCAGCATCAATATAATCTCATAGTTATCACTTAAAGTATTTAGAACAAAATAATATTATACTACTTTTGTTTCTTACTAAAGACACTGCAAAGGCTTATTTATTTAGTGGAATACAAAGTGAAGACAGTGGTACAAATTGTTTGATGTACTGTTTTCTATTTATCTGCTCTAACAAAATGAATCTCAATATGGTTACACTGGTGAGCTATCCAGAGCTCTCTAAAATTACAGAGTAAAGCAAAACATAAAACAAACCTTATGTACCTTTAACTGAACAGACTTCATATTATGCTTAACTTTGCTATACTGCAGTTCCTCAAGTTAAGCCATGGGACTAGTAACACTTCATAAAAATGTGCTGGATATTATGTATTTTGAGCCTTCGGTTACTATGATGGATATGAAAGGTATGCTAAAGCTGGAAACCAGCACAGCTTTTGGTTGGCTCTCATATATAATATACATGTGAGTAATAATCTCTGATAAATGCACGAGCATGATTTTGGATCTGCTGTCCCTCAGTCCTTAGTTAGGTATTGCTCCTACTATATCCCCATAATTCTACAAGCTGTAACAAGGACAAGGGTGCTGAATTGGCATATTAATGAATAAGGAGTTCAGGACTGTGTTGCCTTCTTACTTATCTTTCAGATGCCGAATTTTACACTTGGGAATTACACACTGTTTAATTTCAACATCTGAGATCTTACTAACTTTAAAAGGGCTATCCACATCTAGGTTCCAGGCCAATGCTTGCTGCAGAATATCACACTGATTGCAATACATTAGATCTCAGTTCCAAATTGAAATCAAACTCAGATGAATACACACACAGATGCATTGACACCTGAGTACAGATGTGCCCCCTTCTCTCAATTTCAAAATTGCAGAAAGACTCTTTGAACAAAGTATTTCTTGAAGTTTGTTCTTGAGTGCTGATAAGTAAAAAAAATTTCTCCAACACAGACACCCATAAATCCAAGCACTGCTTGTTTGGTCTTTTTGCTTAAGTGCAAGACAGTTTAGGAAAAAAAAAAAAGGATTTTACACATTAAATTCTGCCTTTAAAGCCTTATTTAAAACCTATTCTCAGAGTACTTCTGAGGTTTTGATATTTTAACCTATCAAGTTCTGTGTGAATTACTGAGAAAAAGGAAAAATAACAAAGAAGCAAATGAGGAAAACATTTCAACTCAAAAAGATATTTAACATCCTATTAAATAAATAACTTAGAGAGAAATAAAAAGAAATGAAGTTAGAACATACAAGCAAACCATACTATTCGTTTTGTTAGAACAGTTTTACACTACTTTGCTTATATTCCTTAATCCTATCCATTTTCCCCAAGGCTTCTCCAGAAATGTCATTATTTGTGCATATGATCCAAGTGCTTCCAGTAAATGCTTGCATGTCTAACTGTTCATTGGATCATTAGGCTTGAACAAGCAATTAAGGTCTTTGATATGAGTTAGTATTCCATAAATAGCTTTCCCCATGAAGATCATTCAACAGATTGTCTCACATTGCAGAGATAAAAAAAAAAAAACTGTTCACACTGGCAATAACTTCCATCCCATTTGATCCAGCTCGTATCTTGATTATAAGATATGACACCGAACTAAATAAAAGTATGTGCCAGCAATGAGTACAAAACCATCAAAGGCTTCCCCTGCTCTCTTCTCAGACAAGAGATGTCTGCGCTATTTCTTTGCATTTGCTCTTCAAGAGGATTACCAAATATTCTTGACATAAGAGCCTTTGGTTCAACTGCATCAATAAAATAGTTCCTTCACCTATGACATTACTACCATTGGAAGAAAGTGAGCTGAAGTGTTTTTCCTTCTTGTTTTCTGTCCTCTCTTTGTGGCCCCCCTTCCATTCAGGGCCACAAACATTTGCCTTCCATTGTGTTTCCAATTTAAGGATGCATATGTGTTATATCCATTTTCTTCTATTCTTTCCTTCAGTTTGCAATCACTGTTAAACTCCTTCTGTTAAAAGAAGAAAACAAACACACAAATTCAGAATAAGAATAAACTTTCAGAGTTGCAGCTCTGCAGGTAAATAGTTTCCAAAAATGTTTTGGAAGATTTCAGTGTTCTGTATGTGACATCATTTTAGGATTCTACAGTGTATTTAAAGAAAAGTTTCATTGTGTCTACAGCATTTAAAGCAACATTAGTTAGACTGCAAAAAGTGAAACCTACAAAAGACATAATCAATTATCAGTGCATAATTATAGCAGTGAAATTATATAATTCACTCATAGCTGAAATTAAACTTCTCTGTCTTGGAATATAGCAACAATATTAAATCAAATTCTCAGTCATAAACTCAAAGTATGAGATAGCAATCTTGGAATGATTCATATTTCAGTTCTAACAAATATAACCTTTAAATATCTTGAACTAGATTATTGATACCATATGTTAAAGAAATATGCATGGCATAGGCCTACTTCCTATTTAAAGTAAGATTCCTTACACCACACTGGCCATAAAAGAGGGCATTTTTGGATGGGAGAAATCACTGTTATACTGCTGTTGCAATGGATGTGAGGCCTGTTTACTTTGCTGACCTGAAGAGAGGCCTAGTCTAAAAAAGAATCATGTATGAGCCTCTATCTTCTTGACCAAATAAACAAAAGCATGTGGAAGCATGTAGGGGGAGACTATTTTTTCTATAGTATTAAATGCGCTTTTATGCAGATCTACTTCTCTATAATGAAGACAAGAATGCTTTGTTTTCACAAACAAGTAATTCCTACATATAACCCCCCCAGTTTTATCAAAATACTTGTATTCCCTTCAGAAAGCTTTTGAAAGTGGGATATTTAAAATATACTTAAATTGAACCAAAAAATAACTTTTTTTTTTTCTGTATTTCAGAAAATAAGATGTTATTTCATGAATTGGGCAGAAGCATATCAGAATCTCAGTATAATAACTAACTACATATGGTAATTTTAACGAGACAAGAATAATTCAAGTCTGAATAATAAAACCATTTTCATAGTACAGATAAGAACTTCACAGATGTTTTATCTTTTATTATTATCAAAATCTGTAGATATTCAGCTAGTAAAGATATAGAAATTACCCACATTAATAAAAAAGGACATAAGAATATTAAAAAATATATATTTTCCATTCCTATTACTTTAAATTAGAATTTTTAAACTAGTTAATATTCAGTACTTTGATCACAGAATCATAAAATCATAGAATCGTTTAGGTTGGAAAAGACCTTTAAGATCATCAAACCCAACTACTAACCTAACACTGCCAAGTCTACCACTAAACCATGTCCCTAAGAACCTTGTCTACCTGTCTTTTAAATACCTCCAGGGATGGGGACTCAACCAGTTCTCTGGGCAGCCCATTCCAATGCTTGACAAGCCTTTCGGTGAAGAAATTTTTCCTAATGTCCAACCTAAACCTCCCCTGGCGCAGCTTGAGGCCATTTCCCCTCATCCTATTGCTTGTTACTTGGGAGAAGAGACCAACCCCCACCTCACTACACCCTCCTGTCAGGCAGTTGTAGAGGGCAACAAGGTCTCCCCTCAGCCTCCTCTTCTCCAGGCTAAACAACCCCAGTTCCCTCAGCCGCTCCTCAGAAGACCTGTGCTCCAGAATTTTTGGGTCTGTAACTTATGTTTTACTTAGTTGCTGCTCAAGACCTTAGAACACATGCTTATGTTTTCCTAACAGAACTATGCATTTTCAAACTCAGTTTGGCCCCAAAATGCTGTTTGACTTTGGGATTAGTAGTTAGTTGAACAATGATTGTTGGGGAAGACACTACCAAGAGAAGACTCTACAAAATGATAATTTAATATTTATTTGCTGCAATATGTCACTTCTGGTGTCAAGGTATAAAGAAGGCAGGTGGTCATCAATCACAGTTCTAAACCACAGTAACTTCTCCTATCTGCTAGCAGCTCATTTTGTTGAAGAAAACAAATAGTGAGTCTTCTTTTGCTTCCTCACTCTAACCAAAGTCAGTCAAATGCAAATGTATTTGATAAACACAGAAACAGCCTTACTTGACTTGTTTTCCCAGATGCAGAATTGTACTCGAATCCAAACTTTTATCTCTATTCTTAGATAATGCAGAGAGAACAGATGATGTTGTGATGTGGTTAAGAAGTCTTATTGGCAGGGTTCTGAGTGTTAGCCCAGGACTGCTTTGCTCATTTCAAACAAATTTCAGCATAAACCTGCACCAGTGTCGGTTGTGCACATGCTTAAGAGTGTTTTTATGATTTTTATTGGTTCTGTTTTTCATATCCATCTGCAAGCTGCCATACTGTAGTAATACGAGTCTAACTGCAATTCTTGGGAGGATGGGAAAAATAATAACAAAAGCATTCTCAAAATCTCTGAAGTATTATGGAATAGGTTTTGATAAGTCATTATGTTGTGATTTTATGATGTGAATATTGAAAAATTATCTCAGCTGGAATTTAAAAAAAAACATTTTCCACATTCGTATCCTCCTGTCAACACTATTTCTAATACATTATGAATTACTGAATCTTATGGCAGCAGTTTCCACCTACGGTACATGAAAGCTGCTTTGACTTCTTTTGTGTATATATAGGACTGGTATTGGTATCACCACACCAGCCGCAGCTAACAACTTGGGTAGGAAAACTTATCTCAGGCTTTGGGACAGATCATCAAAAATGACTAAATTAAATGCTGTAAACTGAGACGTGTGAATTGAAGAGGATGATTTATGCTAACACCTTCACATATGTACAGCAGCATACCCATAATCAATGAGCTTAACTGACAGATGGTAACTCAGTATACCCTTGTATCTTTTAGTGGTGCAGGACTGAGCACTGCTTATCCCGCATTTCTGAGCAGTTAAAATCCACATTTACAGGAGTTTAAGAAATATTTCTCTGTTCTGGTCTTTTCTTAATGTGATTCTTTGACACTGCCCAGGAATTTAGAAAGTCAGAAGTAACCCTTTGAACAGGGAGTGACTAAACACAATGCAGAGGAGGACAGTTTACACAGTTCATATGAACTAAATCCACTCTGTAGAAGTGCTTCTTTTAAAAAGACAGCCAAATGACTTCAATCCCTTTGAGTCTCGGTTGAGACTGGCATTACTTCATTATTTGCAGCAGAGGCAGGAGGTTAGCTACATTGTCCGAGGATAAACCCAGCCCCAGTATCTATCCGTAACCTGCTCTCTTTAAAGCCTATGGATGTTCTGAATACTGAGCAATCTGAAGATTGGCTCATAATTTTTGCAGATGACTTGAATAAGTTTACATTTATGTGGGTTCAAACTCACTAGAATTGGCAAAAAGTTCCAAAATTACAAACCAAGCCAGATGTAATACCAGAACAAGCTGGTGTTTGTGTAATCATGTGGATGTGTGAGGGTATACATGAGTTTAGTAGTCAGATTCATAGATCATAATTGCTTCCTATTAAAAATATTTGGATAGTTATTGGGTTTTATTGGGTTGTTTTTTTGTTTGTTTGCTTTTTCCCCTGAAAGTATCAGTAACCCCAAACAAATAGAATATATACGGACAATTTTCAAATTCTATCCAAATTCTGCTCAGTTGGCTGATATATGTCTATCTCTCTCTGTACTGTGCATAATCTTGCAAATTAATTAATACAGTCAGCTTAAAGCTGGTTACTCCAGAACTCTTCTTCTTGGCAGTTATAGTTTGATAATTTGGTGCGGTGCTCCCATCAGTTGAAGTTTCCAAGATTTCAGGTATGCTTTATCCCCCCCAAGAATTACTGCTAAATGTGACTGTAGTACAGAAGAACAGGGAAAACAGCCTTAAAGACTACATTTTGTAGGGCCCTCTTTATTGGCCACTACTTAGTAATAAACGTGACTGAGGCAGGAAGCATGATAAATCCCAGCAGCTGCTTCAGTATGATATGTGCTTAACAAACAACAGGGAGCTTGTGGAAAGGGGAGCTGCTGGTTTACCAGAGGACGAAATTTTGATGAACAGCTCATTTCAGCTCTAAATAGTATTAATACACAGACAAGTGGGGTTTTCAGAACTATGCTGACTACTGCAATCCATTTGGAAGGTAAAAAAATACTTACAGAGCCGTAGACTTTTCCTTTCTTGTTCATGGCTAAATAATAGTTGCTCTTAATGGACTTAACTGCCACAACTCCAATTTCTACAGATGTTATCTCCAATATGCCTAAAAAATAAAAATTGAGCAAATTAATCACTTCATTAAAGGATTTTCTCACTGCAGAAAAGACAACAAACCTGAAATATACTAAGCTAGTATTTGGAACCAACGGACCAACAAACTAATGAAATTCTTCTCTAAACCATTGCAAGAACATACACAAACATTGTTTCAATTAACATGTTTCCTTTGTTAACCCTGCATTTTAAACCCCAAAAATACTGAAACAGCTCCATTCTTCTTAGCATAGATTTTGCTAAAATTTATCAGAAGAGACATCTGAAGCACAGCATTAAATTAAATCTATAGCATATGTCAATAGAATGTTAGATTTACCCCAGTCTTCAAAACCAGTGGTAAATTATTTATTCCTTGTAGGACATTTAGATAAACTAAATCTCTTGGCTGCACTGAGATGATAAATTCACTTTTGACAAGTGTGTTGACATTTTGGGATATAGTAAGACTAACCCTAACGGCCACATTATCTTTGTCTTTCAGATATCAGAAACATTTTGCTCTGTTTGTAATAAATATGATTAATTTTTCTTCTTTAAAACAAACTCTTTCTGCGATACTGGATGGCTCAAGGGGCTGATAATGTGAGAGAGATATTTTAATCTCTATGTTTTCTACCCAAGAGCATACTGATTTGGGAGTAGTAGAAGTTACTACAACTTACACAGTGACTTTAGAGATCCCTTTTCAGCTACTACTATAATAACTGGATGCCTATGTTGTTTGGGCATCATGTCTTAATACGGGATAAATATGGCTCTAGCCAAATAACTGCTAAATGGTTTATCCAGGTAGTATGCCTGGCTCCAACATTTCTCCTGGTATTAAAGAGGATATTAAAGTAGTCAGAACAATAGCCCATCTAATTCAGTGGTCACTTCGGGTCTACCAATGGGGAAGTTACAGGAGGGTCAAAAGTGTTGAGAAATTGTAAAGAACATCCTAGACTACGCCAACAAACAGTGTTATGCAAAACATGATGAGTTGATGCCTGCTTAAAAAAAAGAATCTGCAGTAACTTCCTCCTAAACATGTTCTATACTTTTTGTCTGAGCAACGTAGTACTGGAAAATCCCTATTTTATCCCTCTTTCCATTTACTTAAAAGTTCCTTATGGTAAACACACATCAGCTGAAGCCAAAAGTGCAACTTGGCATTCAGTGTTTGTATTGGGTCAAGCTGCATAGCGCTGTGCTTTCTATTGGTATGTAGAAAGGGGCTGATAACACACCAATGCTTTGGCTACTGCTGAGTAGTGCTCGAACAGGATCAAGGCTGTGTCTCCAAACTTCCTCCCCACAACCAGTGGGTTGGAAGGGGGCAAGATCTTAGGAGGGGATGTAGCCAAGACATCTGCCCCAAATGAACCAAAGGGATATTCCATACCGTATGACGTCAGCTCAGATATAAAAACTAAGGGAAAATTAAGAGAAGGGGGAGCATTTGTCTTTTATGATGTTTTGTCTTCTGGAGCAACAGCTATGTGTACTGAAGCCCTGCTTCCCAGGAAGTGGCTGGACATCGCCTGCTAATGGGAAGTAGAGAATAAAATCTTGTTTTCCTTTTGCTATGGTGCGCGGCCTTTGCTTTTGCTTTTTTATTAAACTGCATTTATCTTGACCCACGACTTTTCTTTCTTTTCCATCTCATTCTCTCCCTGCCTGTCCTCTGAAGAGGGGAGCAATAGAGTGGCTTGGTAGCACCTGGTGTTCAGCCAAGGTCAACTAACACAGTGTTTTTTCTGGAAATGCTGATTTTCTGTCCCTGAAATCTGTATGCAGTCAATTCAGACTGTAGAACCACGTAGATCTGAGTGTGCAGAGGAGGTGAGGAGGAAGTTCTTTCACTGTAAATTTTTTTGAAAAAGGCTGCTTTATATACAATGGAAAAGCAATTATGTATGGTCATTGAACTGGTCTATGCAACTCAGGACTGAGGGTGTGACTTGTTCTTAGACTAGAAGTAGAGGCTTTGATGTTAGCTGGGCAGTGGCTGTGAAACCAAGCATGAAAAAGTACTAGCTGGTTTTTATTGGGAAGTAAACAGATAACATAGTTTGTGCTTGTGAAGTAGAGAGGGAACATCAAACTAGGCAATTTAACATGAAAGACCTCCTTTTATTGTCAAGAAAGGAGAAGTCGCCTTTCCTGGATGCATTTAAAAATATATATAAAGTTCTATACTTATATAAAACTACATAAACTTTGATATGAAGATATATGCAATTACCAGAGGTTTTGTGTTTATTTAGCAAGAGGCATCAGGTTGGCCACAGCTACAAGGTCAATAGTCCTTGCATATGAGAAAAACTTCAGTGAGAACTGTAAGATAAACAACTATAGGTCTAGGATCTAATAAAGCCCTTCAGCAAATGGACCATATTAAACCAGAAATAATATTTTTTTAAAAATTTTTTGTCTAAACCTATAAAGAGCTGAAATTGGAGCTTTATTTTATTTAAATACTGATACCAAAATGCAAATATATATGTTGATATACACAATAAATCATGTACTAAAACCTAATAAAGCCTTTTGCTGTAAGATTTTTATGGTAAGATTCTTAACTGCAGAATGAAAAATCAGCACTGCTAAGGATGGAGTTGCACATATAAACTAAGAAAGCTTCACCTATGGTGTGAGAGATCTGAATATCCACTGAGCTTCTTACAGCTGTGTGAGAACAATACTGCACTAATTGCCTCTCAGGCTTCAAACTCAGACTTGAACAGAGTGAACGCAGTTACATACAGCACTGCAAGACTGCTCCCTGTGAGGTGGTAGAAACAACAGTTCCAAAAATCAGCTCACTCCATCATCAGTAGTTTCCAACTCAGTAGCAGCAAAGGCCACTCTGATATCTGGAGCTGCCTAACTATTGCCAAGCAGAAAAGATAAGGGCGGTTGTTTAAATGAAAACTCTAAACACAACTTCCATTAGTTACTTCCATGTAGTGTTAGCTTGAGAATTAGCACAAGGTGCTTAGGTGGAAATAAGAGGAGCTATAATTTAGGGGAACTCTGTAATCTAGGAAGACCCAGAATACATGAAGAGTCAGTTAAGACCCATGACCCACTTTTAAGGCTAACTTGCCTACTGTTGCAAAGGAGCCATATATTATTTTTCATATGTAAGATGAAAAGAATTATACTCTTTAATCTCAATAAAACTTGTGAGGGCTCCATAATTAGGTCTTGATAGTGAACTCATATGTACCAGTGTCATGCCAACGATACAAGCAGATCAGTGAGTCCATACCAGTGAAGCCTTATTCTGCTTGTATTACTCTTAACATGTTGCTCATTTTCACAGCAAAGACAAGCCGAAGTTGCTTTCTTGATTTTCTGCGAAAGTTTTAATACAGAGCAGTGGTCTTTAATATTTCCCTCCCACAGGACATCTCCTAAATTATTTGCGCTCAAGATCAAACCGAGGTAAGTGGAGTGCCTTAAGTTATCATAGAATCATAGAATCATATTATGTTTTGGGTTGGAAGGGACCCCTAGAGGTCATCTAGTCCAACCCCCCTGCAGGAGCAGGGACACCGCTAACTAGATCAGGTTGCTCAGAGACCCGTCCAACCTGGCCTTGAATGTTTCCAGGGATGGGGCCTCCACTACCTCTCTGGGCAACCTGTTCCAGTGTTTCACCACCCTCATTGTAAAGAATTTCTTCCTTATTTCAGTCTAAACCTACCCTGGTTTAGTTTAAAACCATTACCCCTTGTCTTGTCACTGCTGGCCCTACTAAAAAGATTTTCCCCATCTTTCCTATAGGCTCCCTTTAAGTACTGAAAGGCCGCAATCAGGTCTCCCCGCAGCCTTCTCTTCTCCAGGCTGAACAAGCCCAACTCCCTCAGCCTGTCCTCATAGGAGAGGTGCTCCAGCCCTCGGATCATTTTTGTGGCCCTCCTCTGGACCCGCACCAACACTTCCATGTCCTTCTTGTGTTGAGGGCTCCAGAGCTGGACGCAGTACTCCAGGTGAGGCTTCACCAGAGCAGAGTAGAGGGGCAGAATCCCCTCCCTCGACCTGCTGGCCACACTTCTCTTGATGCAGCCCAGGGTACAGTTGGCCTTCTGGGCTACAAGCGCACATTGCCAGCTTATGTCCAGCTTTTCATCCATCAGTACCCCCAAGTCCCTCTCGGCAGGGGCGGCCCTTGT